CAGGTGGCATGATTCTCGTCGGCATTGTTGTGTTTGTGGGTGAGAAAACTTACAAACATACAGTGCAGCACTTCAAAGTTGCATTGCTAGCGATCAAAGATTTGACAAGCTGAACACATTCTGTACTGTACAGGAGACATGGCACGGGGTTGATTGACAATGGTCTACAGCCAATCAGGAGTCAGAACACAATGCGCTGTAAGAAAAAAAACAAAAAAAAACAAAACAACTGCAACCAAAAAAAATCCCAGAAATCGCAAGGCCGCGAAAGGTGAACCGCGTTATAGCGAGGGACCACTGTAACTTGATGCATTTAGGACATGTGTGTGGACATGATCAAGAAAACCTGCTGAAGTTCAAACTGAGCATTAGAAAGGAGGAGAAAGGTGATTTAAGTAACTTTGAACGTGGGGTGGTTGTTGGTGTCAGACGGGCTGGTCAGAGTGTTTCAGAAACTGTTGATCTGCTGAGATTTTCCCACAAACCATCTCTAAAGTTTACAGTAAACAGAGAAAATATAGTGAGCAGTAGTTCTCAAAGAAAATGCCTCGTCTTCCTGCCAGAAGTCAGAGTACAACGGCTGAGCTGATGGGAGTAACTGTAACTAACGTAACCACTCATTCAAACCAAGATATGCAGAAGAGCTGAATGCAGCACAACATGTCGAGCCTTGAAGCAGACGGGCTACAGCAGCAGACCACGCCAGGTGTCAGCTGAGAACATGAAACTCGGACTACAATTTGAACAGACTCAGCAAAATTGTACAATAAAAGATTGTAAAAGTATTGCCCGGTCTGATGAATATCCGTTTCTTCTGCCACATTTGCATAGCTGGCTAACAATTAGAGTGGGCAACATGAAAGATCCATTATGCCTTGTATCAATAGTTCATGCTGCTGCTGGTAGTGCACAGGTGTTGGGCGATACTTTATTAGCACACTTTGGACCCCTCAGTACCAACTGACTATTGTTGTTAGCCACGCACACCCCTTTGATTTGAAATTTGGGACACAGTGTGTTGCACAAACAGTTTCTGAACACGACGATGAGTTCACTCAAATGGCCTCCATAGTCACCAGATCTCAGCACACTTGAGCACCTTTGGGATGTGGTGGAGCAGGAGATTCACATCTGCAGCAGCTGTGCGATGCTATCATGTTGATATGGACCAAAATCTCTGAGGAATGCTCCCTGCACCTTGAATCTGTGCCTTGCAGAATTAAAACAGTTCTCAAGGTTAAAGAGGGCCCAACCTGGTATTAGAAAGAGTTAACTAATACAATGCCAGATGTGTGTATTCACACATGTACAAGTGTATATAAAAACGTAATTTTCCAATAGAAGCGTATAGTGGGACCCTGGTACAATGTTGAATATCTGCCATGTTTTCATGTCAAACTGAAGATAATCAGTAAGTTTAGGGATAGAAAATTTATATACAATGGAGGAAGACATTTAAGATGTTTTGTTTTAATCAAGGTGGAGCTGTAGGAGCATTAAGGTGGAGCTGTAGGAGCTTTGTGGCACTGACCATTTTAAGAGGTGGATTTGATCAATTCACAAGAGGCTTATTCAACAAAATCTTACTTAAAGTGCCTCAAGTTTCCAGCAGAGTTAAATAACATGATGTGATCGAGGTATCAGAAGTAAGACAAGTTTCAGTGTCAAAGGGTGTAAAATACACTGAAGACTTGTAAGAGGACAGTACCCACAGTAAGACCTCTGAAACACTTTAAGGAAAAGGGATCAGGTAGGCAGACCTGAAGGGGGAAAAAAGCCTGCTGAATAAAGAATTTAACACTTAAAAAAAAAAAAAAAAAAGCAAAGTTAGTGGTCAGTAAACTGCTTTTCAGGAGGGGAAACAAGGCCAAATGCTTGGGCTGGGCTAAGACATACCAGCATTTCACACTTGATTACAGATGAATCCATCTCTGAAATCTACGGCAGTAACGGAAGGATACAAGAAGGAGAGAAAAAAAAAAGTGATGGGAATATCAACTCCTCTCGAGTTGGACACCCCTCGATTCTGCAGAGACAAGCTCCACCCGCTGATTTGCATTTCTGCAGACAAGGATTCACACTCCTGTCCAAACACATCTCAGAGCTGTGCAGGAACTACTTGAAGACCAAAGAAGACTGAGAAGTGCAGACTGTCGTAGACTTTCTTCCACCCTCAATGACCTCGACTCAGCTGAACTTGTGTTTGAAGAGCAAGAAAGTCAAGCTCTCCTGTCATCACAAGAAGCTTTTTGGAACATGGTCAAATCATTCTGGTATGACATCGGCTATCAGATTTGACAAAAACATGAGGAGTCATGCTTAAAAAAACCCCCCAAAAACAACCATTTTTTAATGTTTATCTTCATTGGAACTTTTAATCCAACCAATAGTTCATTTTCAATCTAAACACTGTAGGAAAAGAAGGGAAAGAACGTGTTTTATCATGATACTCTTTAAATTTTGCAGATACATAAACCTCAGTAGAGCCTCTCCTTACACTTAAAAAAAAATGGGCCAGTTTTTTTTAAAGACACTAGAACTACAGAAGTACTTTGAATGTAATGTGTGATCTTAAGGCAGAACATTAATTATCTACAGAATCCCTGATTTTAAGGCTTTTAAATGTCTCTTTCAGAGCATCCAGAGAGTAACGCAGGAACAAAATCTCTTGCTGCATTTGTGTCACGTAATTTGTAAAACAGCAGTGGGACAATGCTGATTAAAGACAGTGAAAAAAAAAAGTTTGAGGACAAACTGACTGTGCCAAAATTTGGAGTAATTTTCCTTAAATTTAGTTTTGCACTTACTGTGCAGATAATCAGCATAATTTCATTTCACTTCAAACCATGGTTCATTTTCCCCAGACTCATTGAAGGAAAGAATTGAGCTGTTGACAATTTTCTTTCAAATGTGGATTTCTTCAGTGATTTGAAATTCTTTGTGGAGAAATAGAATTTCCTATTTCTTCCAGCTGAATGCCTCTCAACATGTAACAAGGGCAGACAATGTGGGGAGTGCAGAAATGGCCAAACACAAAAAGGGGCCCTGAGAGTTCAGCACCTGCTTTTAGAAAAGAGACTCTCAGTGCCACTCTTCCCCCTAGATCCCCCACCCAGCCTATACCCTCTATTTTGGGGCTGGCTGAGTCTGTGTGTCAAGTTGTACAGGGGAGTGATTACTGCTCCATTAGAGAAGGGGGTGAGGGGATGGGTGGGGGCTTTGCTCGAGCAGGAAGCTGGGAGATGTAGCTGCTTAAATTGGCCCACATCTACTGAGAGTGAGCAGCCTGGAAATTACGCCACCGCCCCAAACCCTTTTCCCATGGAAGAAAAAAAAAAAAAACTAAACCAAAAAAGCCCACAAACCCACAGCTTCTCTGCATCTCTTCACTTAGGGAGAAAAAAGGCCTGTTCCAGAATATACCCACGAGTCACATTTTATTCTCACACTTTTTGCCCGTGTTGAAAATTTTTCTGCAGTCCTTTTATGTAATCAACTGTCATTTTAGTTTGAGATAAACAATGTAAGGTTTGCATGAAAAAACAGCTTCCAACACCCATTCATTTCAGGACAGCGGGCTTATCTGTGTTCTCAGCACATGACGCAAGCATTTAAAAAAAGCGCACCTGTAGTTTCTTGTAAATGAAACTGGAAATGCACAAGTGCAGCGTCCTCGGGTAAGAGGTTCACTCACCTTTAGTGTCACTCCCAAAACATTGATGGCATCTTTAACCTGGGGGTGGATGTTCTTTTGCATTAGCTCCTCACACACCCACAGACCCAGGCTGCACACAGCAATGCACCTGAATGGCAGCAGCAGAGAACAAAATGTGCAGATTTAAGTAGAGCAGGATCTGAATGGGATCAGATGTTTTGAGAAATAAACTACTGTATAATTAAAACCATGAACATTTGGACTTTTTTTTTTTTTTTGCAAACAGGCTTTAGAAGCGTTGCATCAAATTTTAATGACAGGTAGCCCACTGCTTCACCACCATTAGCCTCTTCAAATTCCTTATGTATACAGAAATGTACAGCTGCAAAGAGAAACTAAATGTTGGAATGAATACATGTCTGCACTGATTGGTTGTACTTTGTTTGTCTACAAAACTAAACCGCTCCAGTTTATGTCTTTATTGAACACTAATCATTCAGTGCAGCCTGGAAAAATGAAGTGAACCTCGATGCTAATGAGTTCTCCACAAGCTACTTGAGTGAGTTTTGAGATTGGAAGTGTTGGCTGTAGAGGTGCTTCTCCAAAAGAGGAGGCTGGTAAAGTGTGGTTAGTTAGTCTGCCCCTCTTAAAAATGATTGGCTGGTGTCAACAACGCCTCAATGACAATTTAGTGGAAGAACAAAGCAGGAAAAGGCTGCGGAAGCATTTCAAAACATGTCATGATGACAATAACAACAATATGATAGAGCAGGAGGAGAGGCAGGTGTAATCCAAAGCTTACAAGAACACGACAATCGTGACACAGGTGGACAAGATTGTTAAAAAAATATGTATTCTGTATTTATCGAGGAGTGATCAACATAGAAACAGTATTAGAAAACAGTGACGAGCAGGTTCCCAAACCTTTTCTTGGAACGTGTGTAAAACGCGATCATATCAGACAGTGCAACAAAAGAATTACTAATCATACCTCGCCCCTTCATAGTGCTCCTTCGTTGCCGTCTCCAGCAGGATGTTGACCAAGTAATTCTGAACAGAAACGACAACACCAGTTAACAGTTCTCAGTGACAATCCAAGCCATTCCTTCCTTCATCTTTATAACAATAAGACGCCATTAACTGTAACACACAGCCTTGTAGTCATGTTAAATCAGTGTGATGTTCACACTGCTGTATCTAATAACGTTTAGGATAAGTTTGTCATGATTTACACAGCAGACGACTGATTGATCCTAATTAAAACAACATCTGCTTTTATATGAAGTGTCCGTATTCCCGTCACTGCACATCATGAGCGTTTACCTTGATGTCCTCATTGCTCACATTGATGTCATCAGAGCCAGGCACACGGTGCAGTATAGGAATCTGGAGGTAGAGGTTTGGGAAACACACGAGGGAGCCCAGGATCGTCTGAGCTTCCACCCTCGGAGCCTGGAGGAAGTTTTTAAAAAAGAAAACCAAACCCACGGCATCATTAATACCAGAGACAAACACATAAACAACCCGCTTCAAGCGAAAGGCGCAGAACGCATACGATGGATGAGGATTTGAGGGAGCTTGCAGATTTAATTTCATCTTTATTCATGATTCTGCTGACGGAAAAACATCTCACATGTTAGGCGCTGGACAACAAAATGATTGATTAAATGCATGATGGGTGCAGCTCTGTAGCAGGTTGTGCTGCCGCACCTGATGAGCTGCTGTTAAACTGAGGAGCGAGAACAAATCTATGCTGGGAGGTACGTGTAATGGCAAAAACAGGAAGAAGCAACACATACACACCTGATAAATGACAGTTAACATCAACTGAACCATATTCGGGTTTAAAGCTGTGCAAGTAACAGATAGTGGCCATAATATTGATCTGCTCCAGATCAGCTCTCTCTCTATCTAAAGTCCATATGCTCACTTGTACAGATGGTTTACAACATTAACTGAACATGACCAACAGTCATATTAAGACTTTTCATTTAATACTTGTGTGGATTTAATGAAAAAAAGGATATTTACGTATTTCATTTAGTCCTCAAACATGAAGTCATCTATCATGATGAATAATCATAGTAAGACAAAATATCTATAATTCTAATTTCAGCCACAGTTGCTCAGTCCTACATGTAAGTGCAGTTTGTATTTTGTTTTTTAACATTTCTGCTATTTGGTGCCTCAAATAAATTTTTTATTGCTAAAAGCATAAAAATGTCACAAAACAATATCAGCTTTTCAATGTCAAACAGCTGCAAAAGATGAGAAGGATGATTTATGATGTTTTGTGAAGAATTTTATCATCTTTGTTGCAGATTTACAGTGCGACTGATTTGTGGGAAAAAAGAAAAAAATCTGAAACCTTTTTCTAGTTCTTGACTCATAAATTCCTGTATGACTGAAATATCAAATAAAAGTTGAAAGTGTGTTTGTACCTCTGAGGAGCCAGAGGTGAGGACGCAGGCAGCAGCAGCGATGAAATCTCCAATCAGCATTGTGAAGCCCGGCAGGCCGAGGAAGAAGAATCGAGGAGAGCAGGAGCGGATGATGGTGTTCAAAACATCCTGATGATAAGCATGGACACAGATAAACTGTCATCATGTCTGCAGCAATCTCCGTTATTATATCTCTGCAGACTTTATTTAGGAACAGCCTGAATAACAGAACAAAAACAGATTTTTTTTCCTTCTTTTAATTCTCCAGAATGTTTACGATTACAGCCTGGGATTTTTGCATTTGGGGGGAGCCTCGCGTGTTGTTAGTGTGGGTGGAGTGAAGCAGTATCAGAAATATTTTGTAAATGGGCCACAGTGTGAGAGACGTGGCACCGAGAAAGCTTTTCACTTCAACAGGTAGGCTAAGCATTTTAAGCGTGCTGAGGAGAGTAAAGCACTCAACAGTGCATGTCACTAAAGGACAAAAAAAGGGGAAAAAAACAGAGTGGGAAAGACAGACAGAAGAGAGAGACAGCAGATGGATTGTTCACAGTGGATAAGAGGGAGAACAAAAGACCTCAACTTTCAAGAGTCACATGTATGTACACACACACGCAAACCTGTAATTAAAGCCAGAGACAAGGTATTGTTTGGTTGAGGTGCAGGCGGCTCAGTGGCAGATGGGTGCTCTTTCAACACAGGCATATGCTGTATTGCAGAGGGTTCTGCACAAACTGCTCAAGTATGTACAGTATAATACTGCACTAGTGAAGGGCGTAAAAGGATGCTTGAGAATTTCCAGACTATATTTAGCTGGTAATCTTACAGCAAAGACGCTCATTTCTTCACCATTGACGGACACAGGAAATACTCTTGGGAAAAAAATATAAATAATTAGTTTAAGAATAAAAGAATGCAGCATCTAAATAAGACGGAAAGATTGCTGTCTCTCTTATCTGAGTCATGCATGCGCATATTTGCGTATGAAGGCAAGGTCCAGGCTCCAAACACCTGCCTTCTTGGCCATAAACTTGTGTAAATCGGACAGTTCAAACATCAGCCCGTTTCTAGCTGAACCGAAGGGCACCTTAACAAACAATTTCTCTCTCTCTCAAAAACACACACACACACACACACACACACACACACACACAGTACCACTATCTATGCGCGACATTAATCACCCAGAGCTTTGGTAAACAGGGAATCCAGGTGAACAACAGAATAGAATAAACACAGAGAAGACTAGTAGGAAGTCAAACCAACACCAGCAACACATGTGGAAAATTGGTGGGAAGAGCTTCGGGATTGAGGGCCCATTTTACCCTCGTTTTGTTGGTAATTGACCTCTGAAGCATAATGTGTAGTGCAGTCAGAGGTAATTAGCAGGCAACAAACTGTTTCTTGATTGCCTGAAATGAGCATTTTAGAGGAAGCCACAAATGTAGAATGCAAAGTGCTTTCAATTGTACGTGCAAGTAGAGGGAACCTGATTTGAAGTGTGTATAGAAATCAGAACAGAGAAATGTGGAAAGGGAATAACCGCATGCGGCGCTGTGTTGGCAGTAGGAATAGCCCCTGCATCAACAAAAGGTGCATTAACGTAACTCTGAATAGAGCCACCTCAGGCCTTTTTATGTGGCCTCATTTTCACGAAAGCAAACGCTTTCCACCTGCTGGCCCCTGGGGTGACGGGGTTCATTCTGGCATTACATCACTCTGCACAGAATCCCAAAATTTACCAATTTAAATGTACAGTTTCGCATGGGGACATATTTCCTATTGTAATTCATTCACAAGTTGTAAGAAAGGGATAATAACCTACCTGCAGGCTGTTGTAGCCACGAGCAGTTTAATCAACAGCCGTGTCGGTGGCCTACGGGTCAACCTTCACATTTTAATCTGACACTATATAAATTATGCAGCAGCCTCCTTTTAGGGAATGACAAGATGAACAGAGTTAAAAGGAGAAGCCAGCTCTGCACAGGTGCTGAAATCTGTGTGTTTGTGCAAATGTGTTAGTGCTTTCGAGCCCTTTCTTTAACCTAAAGAATAAAAGGTGAATAGATGCATTAAAGCTTTGTGTGCACTTATTATGTTTAGCAAAATATGCTGGTGACTATTGCACTCCAGATTGCAGACCTATTAGATAGATTACTGCCATTGTGCGGTGGTCATGCTTTTGTGAGACCAGTGACCAGAGACTGACAGACTATCAGGACAATAGCCCCGACCTTGGCACTCTGTCAGTTGGAAGGAGAATCCCTCCAAGGGAAATGTCATTTTCCTCCAAGCTTAGTTGATTTTATTGGTGAGGATTTACACTGGGATTCCCCCTGCTGTCTATAAAGCATGGCTGTTTAAGGCAGACTGTGTTACTCCATTGACAGGCAGACTATACATTCAGCATTCATTTCTAAAGATATGAGAGATGCTGTTGAACAAAAAGACCAAACATCTTCAGATGTCTAATATTAAACGCACAAAGAAAAAAACATTTAAAAAAAATAAGTCCTATAATTGGAGCCTCCAGAAAAAGCTTATAAATAAAGAAGCTTAAAAATATTTGTATGCTTTGAAAGAAATCAAAATCGCAAATGTTTTAGGTGCATTGGGGGGGTGGGGTGAAGGCAGAGAGGAAGGAGGAGGAGAGTAAGAGCCACTTTCTTATGTTAAGCAGGCGTGCGGCTGTCCTCTATTGTGTGGCGTGAGGACTCTTTTCTCTGGCCAATTTGAGCATGCTTCAGTGGCCAGCCTGGCTCTGGCCCCCCAACGCATTATACAGAGCCACAACAAAAGCTTGAGAATGCTGCCTGCTCTCTCAGAGTGCCCCCCTCATTGCTCTACTCTGCACTACGTTCCCCAGGCTCCCCTCCCACTCCTTCACACACACTCGCATACACAGAGGCAAGCGGGCCAGTCTACTCCGGGCCCCCGGCCGACGTGTCAGTCTAACGGAGCGCGACAGACGTCAGTCCTTAATTAATCACGTATACGCGGCAGGGGCTCAAAACATTATTTAACGACATGGAAAACATTCTAATAAGCTTGTCACACAGCCAAAGCGCAACAGAAACCCGGCGAGGAGGGCATATATAAATCTACAGTCCTTTATACACACACACACACACACACACACACACACACACACACGCAAAACATCTCTTACACACATTTTCATCTTCACGTTTTTATTTAGAGGAACTCCATTCATAACCACTCAGCTTTGTGCAGAAGCAATGGAGCAATGCCAGACCTGAATACTAGGAAGGGTGTGGCTGAAGGAGGTGGAAGATGCCAAAACACAGTAATGTTCCTCCTCACCTTCTTTTTGTAAATAAAACAAGGGTCACAATCATAAACCTATATAAACTGTGTCCTCACTCCTGCCAGGAAACCCTTGAACCTAACTCATCACTCCAAACACATGACTAGTACTGACACGAGTACAAAGATTGCAGCAAATACAACCAGTTGAATACGACAAAAATCACACATTAAAAAAAGTAAATGGCAAACTGACAAAAACAAACAGCCTTAATTGCTTTTCAGTTTTTAATCAGGGCTGATGCACATTGATTTGACCAATGCGCCATCTACTGGAGGAAAGAGGAACAACCGGCAGCTTTTGTGCAGGAGCCTTACCGGGTCATCGCTCATGAAGCCCTTGTGCATGATGTGGTAAAGGTGCACCAGGAAATCACTGTTGGGGAGCACATCCTGGTGCCTGGTCATCATCTCACAGATCAGTTTGAAGGCCTGCAGTTTGCCAGCCTTGTACTCTGCAGGCAGCATGGTGGCCTAAAGAGGGGAGGAGTGCCATTATCAGGAGCTGGAGACACTTCTATTCTATTAAGCTGCAGCAGAGGCTTGAGAAGCTGATGCATTTTGTCCCCAACCCATTAAAAAATAAATAAATAAATCCAACTCCAGCCACTAAATTTTCCCTCATACAGACATAACACATATTGAGGCAACATTCTTCCTTTTATTGGTTTGCATAAACAGTTTGATTAGATAATACTAATATGTTTGTTGCCGCCAAGGCTAACCATTCGGCTGCATTGATTACTTTTTGCTGCTCCTGGAAATGTAATGATATTGCCTTCTGAGCATTATAAGATCCTCCCAGATTTCCCCCCCCCAAATAGCACCAATTGAGAAATTCACTCTAAATGTTTTAATATTTACTTTTAATGACATGACAGTGGATCCGGCAATCAGATCTATAAATAATTTTTAGGTTTTAGTATTTCATCCATAGCTTGTGTGCACACTAACATATAAAAAGCGTTTTGAACATCTGCTGTGTCTTTGCATTGTTCATACCCTGAAAAGCCAGGACGCAAGCATTCGAAGAGGTGGGATGAAGGCAGGTTGGGGCGGAGAAGACTGGTTGTCCACACTAATCCCAAGATTGTCCCGAATCTGTAAGCAAACATTTCACTTCATTGAATAACACATCATATCTAATGCTTGGTTCAAACTCTCTGCTTTAGGAAGTACAGAATACAATGTCTGATTTAAAATGTCACATTTATAGAAATTTTATCTGTCTTTGACATAAAGAGGATTTAAAAGCATCACTTTGATGTAGGCTTTTTTTTTTAATGCTCGTGTACACATAACATATGGAATTACTGGTTTATCATCAGCTGATTATGTCTTTATTGTACCTTGGCCAGCTTGTGCCACAGCTCATAGAGATAGGAGAAGACCTTGGCATGGATTTTGGGGCAGCGGATATTGTTGACATCTCCCAAGATACCCAAAATTCTCCTCCACAGGACGAAGGCTGAATCAGCATGCCAGCCAGTCAGAGTCCCACCAGCAATGATGCTGACATCATCAGCCAGAAACTCACTGCTATCTGCATGGTCACATAGAAAGAGTAATGGGTGATGTGGGTTACAGAAATTATTATTTGGCAACACTTTGCCAGTACCAAGAAAGACTTCATTTTATTTAGCTGAATGGATTCAGTCAACAAATGCAGATCAACTTTATACAGTTATAATAAAATGAATTGATTTGACTCTCAATGCTAATGCGTCGTTAGAGCAGCTGTTGACCAAATCCTTAAGTTATCTGGTGCATTTTCCCCAAACGCATTATGCAAGTGAATAAAACACTCAAATACTTTTGGGAAACAGGCAGAAACCACATGCATCATCCAAGTGAATTGTGGCAGGACAGTGCCACCTAGTGGGCAGCAGGAGAGCAATGAGAACCTGAGGGAGTAAAGGCTTGGAAAGACAGATGATAGTGTAGCTGATGTGAGGTGATTCAAATGACTTCTGAAAGTTTTTTCTGTTTCACTGTTTTTAAATTTAGTTGCAGGAAAAAAAAGATAAAAGATTGCTCATTTGTTTACAAGAAGAAACAAAAGAGCAATTATTTTGTATTATGTGTGCAGAATGATGACAAAGCAACTACTTTAAGTAAGAGTAGCATCAAACCAAACAAAGAAAAAGAAAATAGAAAAATCTACAGGGGGAATTTAAGACAAAGAAGTGAAATGCAGATGAAGACTGTGGTCTACATGATGAGTAGCAGCTAGGGAGCAGTACCCAAGTGGTGTGGCATGTGTAAGACAGACTGATGCATGGTGTCGTCCAGGGGGCAATCCCGTGGGCACTCTGTGTGCACCAGCAGGGCTGGTGAAGCGGGGGGATTCTGGGGGTAGTGGTAGTGGTTTTGGTGGTTGTGGTGGTAGGACGGGGATGCGGAGTGGGTAGGGAGAGCACACTCAGGACCTAAAAACAACAAGTGGACATGGATCAAACTGGGTTTGAGGAACAGAGCAGAGGGGCAGTGATCACAATGTGGGAAACACAGAAGTTCACGTACAAGGGTGGGAAGGGCAGACAGGGGGACGACAATATCTGCATACACGAGGGGGGAGGGAGTAAATAAATAAAAAGCCTCAAAGCTGAAGGGATGTTGTGGTAATCCCCCCCTCACAGAAATTGACAGGTGACAAATTAAAGGAAAAACAAACCAGCTAATTCAAGCCCCTCCTCCATTTTTCCTGGTTAATGAAACATCTCTATCCTGATGGGAGTAGTCTCCTCCAACATGACAATGCTCTCACTGAATGAAAATTATGTGAACCACATGCTATCCACAGTCACCACTTCACTTCCTATCTGATTACACATGAGACAGTACCTATGAGTTTTTGCACAGCATCAGAAAACCAAATGAGGGAATATTTCCTGGAAAAAATGTGTTCTATCCCTCCAAGGGGCAAAAAGTAAAATGATGCTGTGGTGGTTCTTCTCCATACTACAACAGCGCATCTTTTTTCCCACCCTTAAATTTGTCAAACATCTGTAGATACCTTAAACAAACCAGAGACCACAGGTTACTTTTCCTTTCATAACATTTCCACTTTTCAAACACCACAAACTCCGAGCAGATTTAAAATCTTAAATTGCTTGGGAGAAGTCATCTAGACAATATTAGGTTTTTCACCCTTCCTAAGATTGATCAATCTATCAATCAAGAGCAACGTTACAAAACCCAGTTTAAACTGCACAACTGCTGAAGTCTCCCAAATAATTTAATCACTGTGATGAATGGTCACAAAGGGCTTCCTTTATAATAATGAGGATATTAGCTCTGTTGCTAACTATTATATGTATCAAACCAGCTGCAGGCTGCAGACAGACATAAATCAAGTACTCTGACTGGATTTGTTAGCTCAAACAAACTGTAACAAGCACAGCTAAACAGAGACATTAATAGAGACACTTGCATCAAGATTTAGGGGCATGCTGTGAGTTTCTACCTGCTAAAGCTTCATTATGGCTGAGCAGCAGACTCCCCTGGCTCTGAGGATCAACTGTTACGTCCATGTGTGCCGACTGCGTGGACTGATTATCGGCTTCCTCATCAAACGCCTGCCAGGTAACTTCAGCCTCATTGAGGTAGCCATTGGACGTCTCGCTACTAACACTCTCACCTAGGTAAGGTGAAAAGATTAAATTCATGAAAGAAAAAAAAAGCAAAAGAAGCTTCAAATGGAGCCTACTAGCTCTGTAAGGAAAACTGTAATATCCAATGCAACAATTACATATTTATATGCTATAGTCTTAGAGTATGCTGATGAAAATTCACATTTTTAAAAAGCAATTTATGTTTAACATTAAAACTAAACAGTGATTATAACTTCTAACTTTTCTCTCTGAGCTTGGGCCTCGTGTAGTTTGCGTGTCCCTCAGTATTGCACTCTGTCTCAGCTGAGCTGCTGGTCCGTCGGATGAGGATCTACAACAAAGGCAAACATTTAAACAGATGAACCAAGCGTTGATCAATCTTATTTTAAGCTAACACGATGGTTGAGGATGAATGTTCTCACCACAGGTGGTTCACTGCTCTCAGTCCTGCCCTCAGACATCCTGCTATCAGAACCACAGGAAGTAGGCGAGTACTCTCTCTGCTGGACTGAAAGGCAACAAACAGTTCTGATTTGGTCTCTACCAAAAACTGGAACATGTTCAGTTAATCCCTGTGGCCCTGATCTTAATTATAAAAAAATAAATAAATGAATATGTTTAAAGCAGGTCTTCTGACCAATCAGAGCAATCAGAGCACACAGGCTCAGGAAGGTGACCAAGAACCCGATTATCACTCTGATCGAGCGCCAGAGTGTCCAGTTACACTGGAGAGAGGAGAACCTTCTAAAAGAACCATTTCTGCAGCACTTCAGACCTGAATGGTAGAGTAGCCAGATGGAAGATGCTTCTCAGGTAAAAAGCCCATGACAGCCCACCTGGAGTTTGCCAAAAGGTCTCTCATCTGATTAGAGCACTTTGCTCTCACACAGGCCTACTTGTTGTTCCTACAGTATTTAAAAGTAGAATGGGAGGCAGAGCCTTCAGTTTTCAGGCCCCTCTTCTGTGGAACCAGATTCCAGTTTGGATTCAGGAGACCGAGACTGTATCTGTACTTAAGATTAGGCTTCAAACTTTCCTTTTTCACAAAGCACATAATTAAGGCTGGATCAGGGGACCCTGAATCCTCCCTTAGTTATGCTGCAATAGGTGTAGGCTGCTGGGGGATTCCCACGATGCAGTGAGCATTTCTTCCTCAGTCACTTTTTTCACTCACTATGTGTTTGTACACCTCTCTGCACTTATTTGTTAGTACTAATTTCTGGCTCTCTTCCACAGCATGTCTTTGTCCTGCCATCCTCCCCTCAGCAGACTGTCCTCTGTCCTCCCCACTGTCGCCAACACGCTTGCTCATAGAGGACATGTGATTTTTTTTCCCCCTCGTTATTATTGTAGGGTCTTTACCTTTAAATATAAAGCACCTTACAGTAACCATTGTTGCTGGGACACCGTCCCTACAGTAAAGCATGGTGGTGGCAGCATCAAGTTGTTGGGATGCATCAAGTTGTTGGGATGCATTTCAGCATAAATGCAGCAATCTACAGAGACATGCTTGATGATAACTTGCTCCTGAGTGCTCTGAACCTCAGACTGGGCTGAAGGTTCATCTTCCAACAGGACAAGAAACGTAAGCACACAGCCATGATAATAAAGGAGTGGCTTTGAGACTCTCTGAATGCCCCGAGTGCCTCAGCCAGAGTCCAGACTTGAAACTGACTGAACAACTATGGAGAGACCTGAAAATGGCTGTGCACCAAAGCTCCTGATTCAGACCAAGCTTGACAGTTTCTGCAAAGGATGTGAGAAACTGCCCCCCCAACAAAAAAATAGGTGCGCCAACCTTGAAGCATCATACTCAAAAAGACTTGAGGCTGCAATTGCTGCCAAGTTATTAAGCAAGAGCTGTGAATACTTTAATTTTTTTAATAAATTTGCCAGAATTTCAAGCAACTTTTTCACTTCACTATTGTGTGCAGAATTTTATTGTGATAAATGAATTGAATCTATTTGGAATAGGGCGTTAACGCGGCAGCTTTATTCCAGCTGGAGAATGCTGTGAATACTCTGGATGTACTGCATCTCTGAAATAATTAGCAGACACCTGTTTCTGTGCAATGCAGCTTCTAAACCAAGCTGACTAGCACTGGCTCATAAATCCACCGTCTCATCACTTAAACAATAATAACACCAAAGATCTCTGACATACAGTTTAAGGTCTGTTTAACTATTCATGCTTAAAAATCAAACATATCAGGCTTAGCTGTTAAAATGAAAAATTCCAGTTGAATGTAATGTAAATAATAAAAAGTGTTCACACTATACAAGTCCACTCTCACATCATCTAGTTGAAAAGAAGAATAATGAATTTTACCTTTCTTTAATTTGCTTACAGAGCTGTTTTTTCTAAATGGTTGTTTTTGTACATGTATGTGCAAATATATGATGTTCAAACTCATTTGCAAACTCGAGCTGCACGATTATATCAGCCGTTTCTGCTCCAAGCTTATAAAGGGTAAAGAAGTCAGTAACTTCCTGTTTATGAAAATCTGACTAAACAGAAAAATTCAATTTGGTGTTTGGCCTGTTTTTCATATCCTTTTTATCACGAGGTTAAATTTTTAACTGTGAAAAACAAGCTGTTATTTGCTTTTTTTGTATTGCTTTGAAAAACCGAATAAGATTAATACCGTAATATTGCACTGGATAGTGGTGTAATAAAGACAACTGAAGTGACAGATTACTTCTCTTTTATAAAGAAACTGCAGGGTTAATTTGTATCACAGCTGAACACACAAACTGAATAAAAGAGGAGTAATTCCACTGAAAATAGTTGAATAGGCCTATAAAAGGAAATTGTCCAGTGAGCAATAGTTCTCAGTAAGTGCCAAACTGCTTTAAGTGGATAGGAAGGCAACAATAACTCAAATAACCTCTAATCACAACCAGGGTGTGCAGAAGAGCATCTCTGAATGCCAATAACTGAAACTTTGAAGGAGATGAGCTACAGCGGCAGGAAACTGAGGCTACACCTTGAACAGTCTCAGCAAAATTGGACAGCAGATGATTGGAAAAACATCTGGTACTTGTAGGGTGTACCTAATACAGTATTCAGTGAGTGTATACAGAAGATTAAAAAGTGCTTTGCGCTTGTATATACCTGGTAAGGTCTCAGACAGCTGTTGGGTGATGTCTGAGGTGCTGCTGCTACGCGGCAGAGGACTGTCTCTGCCTCCCAGCTCCTCCTCTCCCCCACACTCTGACAGCTGACACTCCTCCACATCTGACAGTCGGGAAGACAGAGACATGGTCAGGCAGAGGTGCAATACGGATCAAATATCATGGAAACACACTGGAATATGACTTGCAGACACTGTACAGACAAAGATTTCACACATATGAAACATGGTGAGGAAAAACAGGGCATGCAAACATGCAACGGTGATACATACACTTGTTAAGGACAGCACAAGGCACCGGGGCAATCTTGAGAAATGCATTAGTCAGATCATCCAACAACATGGATTAAATAAAAAGTTCAGGGTGCTATACGAGAGACTGTGACTGAATATGAATGGGAAAGGCTGGGCGAAGGTCACGCAACATGCAAACACATGCAGCTCTCACAATACTTTACCTGAGAGTCTGTGAGAGCAAGCAGAGTTACCAGAAGAGATACCAGGCAAGAAAGAGCTCACAGTGTGGAGCAGCATAGGAACACTTTTAGTAGTGGGCAAAGCCTCGTATAGATGAACACAGTTGCTGATGGACTGGCTTCGCTTAGCTTCCATCAGGGAAGGAGAAAGAAGAGGAAAAAGAAGAGAGACAGTGGGAAGAGAAAAAAGGTAAAGGAAAGAAGCAAATATTCAATGATAGTAAAGTACAAAATGCTGCAAAGAAGCTTCTGCTAATAAATTCAATTCTGATCGTGAAAATGGAGCAATTGAAGACCAGCAGCACCAGAGTTTGATCCAAATATAGTCGCATGTGAGTCACAGGTTAAAATAAAACGGCTTTAAGAGAGAAAATATTTTAAAACCAGTCAAATAAATAAATAAAAATAAAGGGACACTGTCACAAAAGTGAGATTTAAAGATTTTATACAGAAAAAATATAGAAAATCATAACACAAATCAGCACAGCAATACCACAAAATCTACCAAATATAAATCACGAGGGAAAGAAATCAAAACGCCTGGAAGACAATAAAATAAAAAACGGGTAATACACATTTCTCAGATAATGAAGAAACACTGATTCTGCACTGTGTCAATTTTAGATTTTATTTTACTGTGAAAATCTCTGGTTTTAAATGTGCAACAGAAGTAAAGAAACTATATAGAAAATGAGCACGAATGCTAAAGTTTTCCTCCAAAAAGCAAAAACAAAGATCAGCGATGTTTTGGTTCTGAATTTAGTGAACTGATTATTATTATGATTATTTAACAGCCGCGTGACCCTTTTAAGATGATCATGAGGAGGCTTTTTAATTTATTCCTAAATAATAATGACATACAGCTGACATTCATTTTAAATTAAAAGATACATTTTCTGACATGTAGTAACACATTTGTAAATGGCAATACGTGACTTCCAGTGTGGAGTATCTGTAGTATTTTCAAACTGACTTTTTGCTCCTTATCAGCTGAAACGCATACTCTCCCCTAAATCCATGCAGATTCAAATGATGATGATAAAAATTTGTGTAGTTAAAATTTTAATTGACACACACACACACACACACACACACACACACACACACACACACACACACACACACAC